ACAATATATACAGTTAACAATTACATTGACAATGTCTAGTTCATTGCACTTGACAAATTCTGCCAAAATACCTAGTTCATTTATTTGTGTTTGACAGATTCAGAGAAAATACTTAATTATCTACCCTATATTTTCAGTCAAAATTCTTGTATCTAATTTATTTTGTATTCTAATTTGCATTATCATATTTTCTTTTTATGTCTTTCAGACTTTTATATTTCACAGCTCTTTTGTGAGTTACTCTTCTGAGGTTGGTAAACAAGGAAACTACAACTAAAAATATCTAGTCTTCAAGTCCCTCAGAGACCTTAGAGGGAAATAATATTAACTGAGTAAACAGGAAGTGCAAACAAGTACCTTCCAAAAAATGTGAGAAATTACAAAAACATCTGGCTGTCTAGATAGTCACCCAAGATTCCTCTGCAATGTTGAGGCATCCATCTTTGGCCTATAAGCCTAGTATCTCCAACAGACTTTTCTGTGAGGGAAGGTTTTCTGAAGGACTATTTCAACTTATCTTGGCAAGGATTTTTGGAGTAATGTTTGTCCAATTTGGACAGCATATTGTCAACAGTCAAGACAAGGGCATTTTCTTACTCAATGACTACTATATTGTTACTGCCAGAAGTAGACATGTCTCACTTTTATAAAAAAATACCTATATATTAAAACATCTGAAATTCAATATTCTGGAGATCTCTGAAATATTTTAATATGGCTTATCTTTCAAAAATACATCTCTGTTGACTTTGAAAACATACCTAATTTGATTACAAGCTCGATTGTAATAGGTGACTGATTATACCTACCTTTCCTTACTATCTTACATAGTAGGTAATAATTTTCAAGGACTAGAAATTTGCATTACATTGAAAAATGATCTGTATAGGTATACCTTGAATAATATTAGAAACATATGTATAGTATACACTAACCAATTAATTTCAAATTTGTATCAATATACAATATTTATATATAAAATACAAAAAAGTCTAATCCAGAGTTAATACTTAAAACCAGTCATTACTTTTTAAGAGTACATTCAGCTGGGCGGTGGTGGTGCATGCCTTTAATCCCAGCACTCGGGAGGCAGAGGCAGGCGGATCTCTGTGAGTTCGAGGCTGGGCTGGACCGATAGCCTCCAAAACAATACAGAGAAACCCTGTCTCAAAAAACCAAAAAAAAAAAAAAAGAGTACATTCAATAATCTACCATTTTATCTTCTCATATTTGGATCTTCCCTTTTTACTTTTCTGATGTGGGAAGTCCTGTGATTATGTCAATAAAGCACTGTTGGGCCAATAGGAATCTAGATAGGTGGGAATAGGAGTTGAGGAGGATTCTGGGAAGGAGAGACACGGAGAGTCAAGATGTAACGCCATGGGGTAGGTAGCCCGGAACTATTCTCCGGTAAGAGAAATACTTAGATTAACAACTATGGGGTAATTACTTAAGTCAGAGCCAGCCAGTAAGAAACAAGCAAGGCAAACAGCTTCATAATTAATATAGCCTTCTGGTGTGTTTATTTGGGACTGATGCGGCTCTAGAACCAGGCTGGCGGGAAGCCTTCTCTCAAAGAAAAAGGCTTCTCTTTACACTTTTCAGATTATATTCAACAATCTACACTTTCTATCCTATAACATCTGTATCCCCCTTCTAAATTACAAACTGTTTGGGCTATTGCTCAGTTTTATTACTAACTAGTTATTACAACTTATACATACTCATAATTCTTACCTACATTTACCAACATTGGTTGGTACCTTTTTTAGTAATGTATTCTTATCTTCCTTCCTCTGCTACTGGCTAGTGACTGTGTCTCTGCCTTTCCTCTTCCTAGAATTCTCTCAGTCTGGTAGCCTTGCCCATACTTCCTGCCTACCTCAGCATTTTATTAAATTAGTATGAGTGATAAATCTTTACGGTAAATAAGAACCTTATCCATCATTTCCACCTTTTTTCTTTTCAAAACATGAACCCTGAATATAATCCCCTTTGTTTTACTTTTTTCCTGACCATTTTCTATAACAATTTGTACCCAACTGTAACCAATCTATGAAACAAAGGTAAACACCCATAGTCCATTCTTTGGGAAACTGGGTGTAGTTTTCTAGGCTACTTCCTGCTGACTGGGGGCACTGGTAAACTTATGGGAAAATTCACGATTATGTTTAAGTCCTTACTGGCATACTCTGTGAGGCTGGGTCATCTCAACCAGCATCCTTAAAACATCTCTGGAAGCAAAACTCAGAAGAATCTGCAAAAGAGGTGTTTTGAAATGCTGAATCATCTGGGTCCTCCATTCCATTTGGAGATGTTTTAGGGGTTCTGCCTCTATCAAATGTTATTTTTCTAATGCAGAATGAATTCACAGTCTCTCATTTCCTGTGGTAACAAAACAAAGCCTCTTTCCCAAAATAACATATCATTTGATATAAATTTTGAAATAAGAAATTTTCAAAATATGTATGTTGGATTAATCCAGCAACAATTGTAATCAAGATCTATTGACAGCTGTTGCTTCTTCAGAAGTCAATCAATTCAAAGATGACATAACATACAGTATCAAGAAGATCTCTCATTTTCCATTATTATGTAGCCTTTAGTACTCTAATTCCTTTATTTTTATTTATTTATTCATTGGGGGTGTTGAGACAGGGTTTCTCTGTGTATCTTTGCTTGTCCTGTAACTCAGAATTTAGACCAAGATGGCCTTGAAATCAAAGAGATCAGCCTGCTCCTTTCTCCAGAGTCCTGGCATTAAAGGCATCTGCCATCACACCCACCTACTCTATTTCCCTTTTAAGCACTTTCTCTATCCATTTTCTTTTCTCTTCCAGGCCTATTTATATTTTCAAACATACTATAAAACATGTAATTTTTTCATCTGAATCAGTCTTTCTGTATATCTCTATCTTTTTTATGGTCATTTGTTTCTTTAATATTCTAAATGAATGGCTAGGATTAAAGTGGTAGCTGGCTATCCCCATTCCTTGGCTTCCTGAGAGTCTAGCTTCATGGCAAACGTACTGGTGGAAGTCATGTTTACTGCCATGCCTCCCCTGAGCTTCTAGGTCCATGTAACCGCAAGAAGCATGCTACAAACAAACAAACAAAAATATTTACTGTGTGTTAGCAGGGCATCTTAAAAGAACCTTGCAGTTTTTATTGCTAAAGCTGTCAGGAAGCCTCTCGTAAAGGAGCTTGCCTCTAACAAACAAAGTCCACCATAGAAAATACTACTACCACAAAGCCATGCTTTGTTCTGTTCCTTTTTGTTTAGAACCCTTTTAAAACTTTTGTTAGGTTTTACTTGGAAATTCCTGCCAAATATTTGGGTGCCACTTGTTAATGGAGGTTGCTGTCCTGCCCTTTCCTGCCCATTCCTGCCTACAACCATTCAGTCTCAAATAAATACACAGAGGCTTCTGTTAATTATAAAATGTTTGGCCTATTGGTCAGTCTTATTAGTCCCAAGCTCATACAATTTAAATTAACCCATAATTCTTATCTCTATTTACCCACATGGCTTGGTACCTTTTCTCTGTATGACATTCTCATATTGCTTCCTCTGCATCTGTCTGATGACTGCTTTTCTGCCTTTTCTCTTCCCAGAATTATCTTAGTCTGGTATCCCTGCCTATACTTCCTGCTTGGCTACTGGCCAATCAGCATTTTATTAAACCACTATGAATGACACATTTTTACAGTGAAGAACAATGTTATCACACATGAAGTAACTAATACCAAAGGCCCATTGAAACACACAGAATGAAGCAATCTGATGTAGAAACTTCCTAAAATATGTAAATATGTGTCTATAAAAAGAGTGGATGCAGAGTTATTCTATAATGGTGCAACAGTGCATTTGTTAGAAATGTCAGGAATGGATTATTTCTTTTGTGAAAGTGGACAAATGAGTTTCCCTAGATCCCCAAATTTATAGGCTGTTGACAACACTGTTGTTTGTTCTCCAGACCTGATAGTAAAACTCTATTACTCAAGTCACATATATTGTCATACATAGTCACACAGAATGGATGGAACGAACTAATACTGCCCTGAAAGCTTCACCACTACAACTTTACTTTCACAATAATGGAAACTATGCAGGATCCTCTGCATAATCCTAGAGAAGAAAAGTTTCCATCATCTTACCCAGCTTTGGACTCTGAGAGTTACAAAAACAAGAGCAGCTTGGTAAGGCCTATCCACTGGTGCAATATTTTCATGAACATCATATGAGCAACTACTCATTTTCTGATTGCCTTAAGACCTGATCACCTAGGTGGCACCCATTTCTGACACCATTATCGAGCATAAACTTGTGCTAGATAGACAGACAGATCATAGGCCCTAAAGGAGGATCAACAACCATTTTGCTAAATGGATAAGTAGTAAACTGATTCCCAATTAATGGCTTCCATAGATTATTGCATTTATCAATCTTTATCTGCAAAGCTTCTTATTGTAGTAGATAGTGAAAAACAATGACTCAAAATAAAGGTTATTGGACATTAAAGTGTTACTTAAGGGGTTTTTACTGTATTTGTTCATAACATTCTTACCAAAATGTCAAATAAATGTGTGAAATCCCATAAATCTCAAACATTTTAAATTATTAGTGTTTCACATAAAACTACTTTCTCTTTTCCAAATACAATGCAGTTTATTTTTAGTGGCCATTATTAGACGTTGTTATATAAAATCACATTAATAAGACTTCATTTAAAACTATGTCATACTTAAACACTTATGGATAGATAATAAAATGTCTGGGATTAATCTGTCAAGTCATCAAAATCTTACAACTTAAGTCAGTTTTTCCAAAACTGATGATGAATCTTGTAAGCTTAACAACCATCTCTAGGTGTTCGAAATAAATAACCTCATATTAATTTATAAATATACATCTATTGCGTACACTCTGTTGTGAGTCTTCACAATTATTTCTTTGTTGATTCTAAATCCAGAAATAGATACCAGTAGGCTGAGCTATTGTTACATTGCCAGCTGCAGCTGCACATTCTCAGAAATAGTGAGGGAATAATTGAAAACTGCACCATAAGAGGTCCTTATAAAGGTAAGGATGTTGTCTTGCATGTCGAAGAACCCCTGTCACACCACCTGCACCTGGATTCTCAGAAGGCACACTTTATTGTAATTGACAATTATATAGTTGTAAAATTTCTTTATCATGGGTATATAGAAGAATATTTTGGCTACTTGGAGTTTTTGTTGTTGTTATCATTTCTGTATTTACTTGTCTTTGAAATTAGTAAAGAAAATTGGCTATGGCTTTTTTTCCACAAAGTTTTTGTTCTAAATTTAACATCTTTATGTGTGTATACCTGTGTTTTAGAATAAAATTCCATACTGAAGGCATTTTTTTCTTTTACTGAAAATTAGTGAAACATAGAAATTCCTAAGCATGTTGAATAGGAAAGAGAAAAGGAAACACATTTGTATTTTTGTGACTTTTATAAATGAACAGGTTTCTTTATCACATTTCAATACCTCCTCTTGGTTGATTTCTGACTCCTGTACCTACTTATAGTCTCTTTCTGATTGTGCCTTTCAAATCCAGTATTCCCTTTTCCACTGTGCTGTCACCCGTCTATTCCCCTCCCAACATCACTCCTGTAAATCCATCTTTCCTCCGCTCCTCATGTCATACCCAAACACCCACAAAAATACATATGTAATAGTGTAATGATATGTATATATGTAATATAAGTATAGAATAATTGAATTTATGATTCACACATTATATAAAGCATTTAATATTTATGTGTCTGGGACTCTTTTTCTTGACTTATTATACATTTCAGTTGCCCCCATTTTTGTGGAAAATGCACGAACATTTTTCTGTGTCGTTTAATAAAATTCGATTTTTCCATGGACCACAGTTTCATTATCCAGTTAAAGGCTAGGCAGATTCAATTTATGCATATTCAAGTATTTTTGTAGTAGAAGACAGTTTTTTGAATACATATCCATGAGTGAGGTTAACTATATAATATTATAGTTTTGTATTAGGTTTTTGAGAAACCTTTGTATTGATTTTCACAGAGCCTATACAAGTCTGTTTACCCTTGTACAGTAAATGAGTGTTCTGCTCTCTCTGAATCTTTGCCAGCAGACTTAGTCAATTGTTTTCTGTGAAAAAAGGCCCTTCTAGTTGGTGTGAGATGAAATTGCCAAAAACTTTAATTTTCATTTCCCTAATAGTTACAGATACTGAGTACTTTAAAAAATATTTATAGGCTATTTTTCTTCTTTTGAGAAGTGTTTTTAAAGTGATTGATCTGTATTTTTATTGTTTATTTTTATTTTAAAATGTTTTAAATAGAAATAGAATTATATTGTTTTCTCTAATTCTTTTCCACAGTGTCTCCTAGTATCTTCCCTCAAACCAGATACATTCTCTTTTGTATCATTTTCTTTTATTTTAGATTCATATGTAGGTTTTTGTAAATGTAATTGTTATTTGATCTAAATAATAAAAACCAGGAGTCAGATATAGAAGAAAACGCTGAAAGATCAGAGAGAAGATCGAACAAACTAAACCACCTTTACTCATTAGCTTCCCAGAACAAAAGAGAGTGAGTTCCTGTTGCTTCTTGCTTATATCTTCTCTGCACCCAGTCATTTTACTTCCGGTCTGTCTGTACAGACCTTCTGACTTCTATGGTTAGCTAGTGGCAAGCTCCATCCTCTGATCTTCATACAAGATGTATTTGTACAAACATGATATCACCCCAGGTTTTTGTATTTTTTTAAATTTAAGCCAAAGGAATTATGTGGAGAAAAAAAAGGAGAGAATATCTTGGGTTTGTTTAGTAGTGTCAGTTTTCTTATGTATCATTAGGGTTATCATTTTTGTTTTGTTTTTTTCAGTGTACTGTTCAGCCAGTGAATATACAAAATGTAATTAAATGGCATAAGACATTCCCAAAGCTTGAAATTTAATATTCGTCAATAATCTTCCAGAAAAACTGCTACATTAATAAAAGTGTTTTCTTAGGAAGAGTTTTAATGCTATTTGTTATTCAATTGCTTTTATCTTATTGAAAATATACTTTTTCATACAATATATTCTGATTATTTTTTCTACAACTCAACTCCTCCCAGTTCCTCCCCACCCAGAGTCACACTTTTTGTGTCTCCTTAGAAAACATACAAGCCCAGCCTGGTCTTTTTAAAGTGAGGTCCAGGAGAGCCAATGATGCTATGAAAGTAACAATGTCTCAAAAAAAGAACCAAAAAGGAAGGAAAGGAAAGGAAAAGAGAGGAAAGAAATCAAGCATCAAGGACCTTGGTTCTCAACCTTCCTAATACTGCAACCCTTTACTGCAGTTCTTCATGTTGCAGTGCACCCCAACCATAAAATTTTTTTGTTGCTACTTCATAACTGCTTTTTGCTATTGTTATGATTTGTACTGTAAATATTTTTTGGAGCTAGAGGATTTTCAAAGGGGTCATGACCCACAGGTTGAGAAATGCTTATCTGAATAATAATAATAATAATAATAATAATAATAATAAGAAGAAGAAGAAGAAGAAGAAGAAGAAGAAGAAAGAAGAAGAAGAAGAAGAAGAGAAAATTTCAGAAGAGAACCAAGCAAAAGAAAACAGTTATGAGACATCCAGATGCCAATGAGTTTGTTTAGTTTTAGACATCTATTTCTGGCCTTGGTGTCTACCCTTAAGAGTGGTTTGTTTCCCTAGTAAGACTGTCTTGGAAAAATTAATTTCACATTTGCAAATGATTGCCAGTTGGAACTACTTTCTGGCTTAGAGATGGGGAGTGTGTCCCCTTCTCTCAGATCTGGCATGCAGTTTGGTACAACCCTTGTGCAAGCTGCTACAATCTCTGTGAGTTCATATATGTGTTTGTCCTACTTTGTTTAGAAGTACCTGATTCCTTTGTATCTTCTTCTAGCTCCTACACTCTTTCTGCTGCCTTTTACAAAGGGTTCCCTGAGCCCTGAAGGGAGGGATATGATGAAGACATCTTGCTTAGGTCTGAGGGATCCAAGTTCTCCCATTCTCTGCATATTGTCTTGTGGTGCCTGCACCATGAGCAAATCCGAGGTATCGGGAAATGAACAACAAGACATCCAGCTGTTTGTGCTAAGAGAATGGGTGTGTATGTCTTTATTGCAAGTGCTAAGAGGTCTCTCCCTTTGTAGAGAGGGAGTAGTCTTATATACAGGCTTATAGCACAATGGAAAAACCCCAGGTGGAAGAGATCATGCATGTTTTCCTCGTGCTAAATGTTGATGTCAGTTAGGCAAGGCTGGGGCAGTAAGCCAGGACTAGAAAACAGGATACAATTGAACTGCAAAACAGGATGTACTTTTTGGCTAAATGGCAACTCACAGAGATCCCATGGGGACTGGGACCCAACATTGTCTGACTGTGGATCTTGGTATTTGCTCCCATCTCTTACAGACAGAAACTTCTCTCATGAAGGCAAAGCAAGGCACTGATATATGAAAATAGCAATGTGTTATTAAGAGTCTTATTGCCAAGTTCCTGTATTATAACAATAATATTTATTTGTCCCCTAGATCCCTGGCCTAGCTAGTCACATGTTCTTGGCCATGCAAGCATGCCTGTTTATGGGTTCCATCTCATGTAGTGTATCTTAAACAAAGTAGCATCTTGGGTGGTTACTCCCACAATATTTGTACCTCTATTCCTCTACTCAACCAGTTTAATTTGCAGGTTACTCACCATTGTAAATCAGTAGGATTCTTCTGGTTTCATCTTTAATTGTTTCTTTTGGTAGACTACAGAGTACCTTTCGGTATGAAAGACACTAACATTTACTGATAAAGGCTCTTTGAGGGCATCAAATTGACTTCTCAAAGTTCAGTGAGTTGTGTAGCAGTGGTTCCTTGCTCTTACGGAGATCAACCTATAGACTTGGCAAGAGCATGTGTTACTTAGAGGTTCTGATGAGATCCCTTTTGCAGATATGATAATAAAATATACTCCACTCCTGATACTGGTAGTTTTATTTGGTGACAGTAGATGTCCAGTTGGGGCTAAATCTCCCTAATAATTTGGTGATTTAATTTAGAATGCTTTCACACAGGTATATATTTTAGGAAGGTCCTACTGTATTAGGTTTCTTTTTTATTTAAATTAGAAATAAGCTTGCTACACATGTAAATCACAGTTCCCTCTGCTACACTCATCACCTGCCAACCACCAACCACCTCAACCCTCACCCAACTCCAAATATGCTCCCCCGGGAGACTGAGACTCTCCATGGGAGATCTCCAATGTCTATTATGTCACACAGGGCAGGACCTAGGACCTCCCCCATGTACCAAGCCTGAGAGAGCCTCCCTCCATGTGAAATGGGCTCCCAAAGTCCATTAGTATAAATATTGATCTACTACCCAAGGCCAAGTATGTTGCAAAGGCCTTTTCACTGACATTTAAATTTAGGGGGTCTGAACAAGTCCTCTCAACCATCAGTCTGGGGTTCATGTGCTCCCCCTTATTCACCTGTTTCTGTGTGTTTTGCCACCCTGGTTGTGACACCTTTGCTCATCACTCCTCCCTCTCTGCAACTGGGTTCTAGGAGTTCAAATGAGTGTTTACCTGTGTGTGTCTGCCTCCGTTTTCATCAGTCACTGGATGAAGGCTCTAGGATGGCATATAAGGCAGTCATCAATCTCATTATTGGGGAAGGGCTTTTAAAGTAGCCTCTCTACTATTGCTTAGATTGCCAGTTGGTGTCATCCTTGTAGATCTCAGAAAATCTCCCTAGAGCCAGAACTCTTCTCAAACCTCTAATGACTCCCTCTGCTATTGTATCTCTCAACCTGCTCTCTATTCTTCCCCTGATACAACCTTCCTGTTCCCCCATGACCCCCTCTCCCCCTTCTTCTCCCTTTCTCTTCCCCCTTACTCCCTATACCCCTCCCATGCTACCAACCCTCTCAGGAGATCCTGTCACATTCTTCTTCTCCGGGGTACCATGCATATCTCTCTTAGGGTTCTCTCTATTTCCCAGACTCTCTGGAGGTGGGACTGTGTAAAATCCATATATGAGTGAGCACATAGCATGTTCGTTTTTTGTGACTGGGTTACCTCACTCAGGATGGTTTCTTCTAGTGTCATCCATTTGCTTGCAAAATTCAAGATTCCATTGTATAAATGTAGCACATTTTCATTATCCATTCTTCAATTGAGGGGCATCTAGGTTGCTTCCAGATTCTGGTTATTAAAAATAATGCTGCTTTGAACATAGCGGAACAGATGTCCTTGTTGGATGAATGTGAGTCTTTTGGGTATATGCCTAAGAGTTGAATTTCTGGATCTTGTGGTAGACTGATTGTAATTTTCCTGAGGAATCTCCATATTTATTTCCAAAGTGGCTGTATCAGTTGTCACTCCCACCAGCAGTGGAGGAGTGTTACCTTTTCTCCACTTCCTCTCCAACATAAACTATCATTGGTGGTTTTTATTTTAGCTGTTCAGACAGGAGTAAGATGGTATCTCAGAGTTGTTTTGATTTGCATTTCCCTGATGAACAAGGATGTTGAGTACCATCAGCCATTCCAGACTCCTCTATTGAGAATTCTCCATTTAACTCTGCAACCCATTTTTCAATTGGATCCTTTGGTGTTTTGGAGACTTGCTTCTTGATTTCTTTGTAAATTTTGGAGATCAGCCCACTGCCAGATGTGGGGTTAGTGAATATGTTTTACCAATCTGTGGGCTGCCTTTTTGTCTTGTTGACTGCGACTGCATCATTTGCTTTATAGAAGCTTCTGAATTTCAGGAGGTCCCATTTATTAATTGTCATTCTCAGTGTCTGTGCTACTGTTGTAATGTTCAGGAAGCTATATATTATGCTGTTGAAGATCTTTTCAGAAGATTTTTGCATTACAAAGATCTTGAAGTATTTATTTCAGCATCTCAGGCTTTAAATTAAATCTTTTTTTCTACCTTAAAATGTAAGTGAATATGTGTTTTTCCAGCACTGTTTGTTATCAACTAAGATGTAGTGCTGAAACATTCAATCACATTCACACATTTTAATTATTCTTTTTGCTAAATATGAGAAATTTGTTGAGATGTCAATGATGTCAAGGAAAACACAGGCCTCCTTCTACCTTAAAGGAACTCTCAGATGTGCTCACACTGTAACAGAAAGAAGAAAATTGAAGGTGGTGTTAACAGGAGTAGATGATATTTCTAATTCTAAATAACCCATAAAAAGAACCCAAGCCAAATGAAGCCTATAATGTTTTTCTTATGGAACACTATCTTTGTCCCTAAAATTAAACACAATTAAGGAGAGTACTGGCAATATGATATTCCAGTTATTTGGTCACAAAAGCAAAAATATTATATATTTAAAGGAATGTGAGAGGAATATACAAACAAGCTAAAAGAATTGAATATGATCTCATAAAAGGTAGACCGAGAATGAGAAATTCAATTTTGGGTAATTGTGGTTTGCTAAAATCTTTCTCAAACAAAGAAGAAAGTTAAGAATAAGGAAAGTGAAAGGAAGTAATGATGGAGAGAATGAAAAAAGATCAGATACTTATGGAATGGTAAGAAATTCCAGTTCCCATCTTAGCATCTTCACTAATTATTCATCTATGATCTAAACTTCATTAAGGGATTTATTCATGTTTTGTTAACTCTGTAACATTACTTGATGCTTTCATGAATCTAGTGTGTAAAGCAGATATTTTGCAATTTTCTGAAATCAGACAGACCAGCTAACTCTCCAGAGACCTTACTATGGACAGTGACTCTTTGGGGGCTAGAGAAACACTTTTCTCGCGTGACTGTTATTTAAAAGTAGCTGGAGATAAGAGATTATTACTAGAAGATACACAAGTAAAAGAATTCTATCTTCCAGTTGCTTCCTCACTGGAGATTCTACCACTGATTAAGCTAACTATAGTTCACAGAAAATTCTTCTCTGTAATGTTCTTTGCTGATCTTTAATTGTTCATTCTAATTCATAATGTACTTGTAGTAAGACATTTCTTTTCACTGCTTTAGTAGAGTGGTTAGAAATAATGCTCTTAAACACACATTATTTTTGGTTACATTTTAAGGTAAACAGTGACAATGCTGAAACTAAGGGAGGACTTTCATGACTTCTATACACTGACATCTTGACCTAACTTGCAAAAATGGTTCAATTTATGCAATTATAACTTGAAAAAGCCCGAGAATAGCTAAACTAGCTTTCCAACATAATATGATCTGGTACCACTTGTACTATAGGCCTGCTGGGAATTATTTGATTAGCTTAATTGAGGTGTAGAGACATGACCATTGTGGATGGCATTATTAATTTGAATGAGATCAAAGACCATATAAAAATGAGAAGGTAGGGCACAAACTGCTTCTTCACTGTGGATATAGTGAGATTTTTAGGTTTTGTATAAAACCTCAATATTTCATAGACTTTTGATGTTTCCAGAATATTGCCAAATTCCACCAGAAAAATCAAAGATTCTCCTTGCATGAATTTGTACCAATATTTTATTATGTAATCTGTTTGTTCAAATATGTTTTACAATGTCTAATACTACATACTCATGAATACCCACATATTTCAAAATTGTTTCTGCTCATGTGATCCTGTGACTGCAAGAAAGCTAAGCATTTCTTTTTAATAACCACTATTTTGTACCACTAGCCAGAAGCTATTAGATATTGTTAGCTACTGGGATAGGAAGTGTCTATGTTCTCTAAGAGAATAGCCCGTGATGACTTGATCATCTTCTAATGTAAGGCCATGAACCTGAGCAAATTTGGTTAGCACTAACTGGTCTGATTATGAAGAAAAAACAAAAAAAAATAGCACAAGTTGGTTGGTAGGGAATGGACATGTGAATCTGGAGGGAGTTAGGAGAAACAGGGTGAATACAATCAAAACATAGAAGTTTCTCAATGTAATAAATAAATCAATTAGTTAACATGCTACATATCTCTCAGTTACTTTTCCCCTTTACTAAGAAAAATTACCCTTTTGAAAACCACTTTGAGGACAAAGGATTTGTTTGGGCTCACAATTCAATGTAACAATTTATCCTTTTAGAGAATTTATAGCAAGAGATTGAGAAAGTCAATGACAGTACCACCATGCCAAAGAGCACAGATAAGTAAATGCTTGTGGCTATATCACCTACTCATTTTTGTGCACTCCCAGATCACATCTGAAGGAAGTACACCACCAACAATGAATGTGTCTTTCCACTGTAAGTCCAACCCCTGAGACACACAAATAGCCAGGTTTCTCCCCTGAGTACCTCCAACTTCTGGGTTCCACTCACAGACCACTCTATGTGCCCTAAATGACAGACGTAGCTCCCAACCCAGAGAGTAAAATTCTTAAGCTCTGGACTAGAAAATCTAGCAATCCCGACCCTGCATTTGCACCCTAGAAATCTCTGTCCCCATGAAATGCTATTTTAAAATTGTCTTCTGATCAGTTCTCTGGTGTTTCCCACACAGGAATATGGCTTATGAAATTTGCAATTGTGATTAAGTCTTTTACATCATATCTAAATTCTCAGAATTCTGAGAATGGACAAGGTATCATAAATTTATTTTCACTTAATCAAACCTTTCAAAACAAAGTGCCCCTTTCCAGATGGGACACCATTCCCAATACTGAACCATTCTGAAAACAGGTACAGGAACTTCATTCCATGTTGCAGACAGAACTACACTGGCATTTTAGATATTCGAACCACAAAGGCATTTTTATACATTGATTTAGCAGTTTATTTGATTTCTAATTCCTGGGTTAATCTTTTTCAAGAGAAAGGAGCTTCATATGTATGTATGTATATATGTATGTGTGTGTGAGTGTGAGTGTGTGTGTGTGTGTGACATTTATGACACACATTAAAATATTCATTAGTTCCCCTCTCTCCACATCCTCTCCAGCATAAATTGAGGCAAATTCATACAACAAGGGCATCTGCTCCACTATGTTCATAGCAGCATTATTTGTAATAGCCAGAACCTGGAAGCAACCTAGATGCCCCTCAACTGAAGACTGGATAGAGAAAATGTGGGACATTTACACAATGGAGTATTACTCAGCAGAAAAAAAAACAATGGAATCTTGAAATTCGCAGGTAAATGGATAGCACTGGAAGAAACCATCCTGAGTGAGGTAACCCAGTCGCAAAAAGACAAACATGGTATGTACTCACTCATATAAGGATGTTAGACATAGATCAGGATAGTGCTAGTCTGCACTTCCACTGATAGAGAGTCTGGGAAACAGGAAAGAACCTAAAAGATATGCATATATGCATAGTACCCAAGAGAAGAGTATTGAGACAAGATCCTCTGAATGGATGGGGAACACAGCGAAGGTAGGGTGGGGAGTGGGAGCTGGGAAGAAGAGAGGGGGTGAAGAGGAAGAGAGTTGGTCATGGGGGAACAGGAAGTTGATTGGGTGGGGGTAGAATAGGGGGAAGAGGGAATCATAGGATAGAAGACAGATCAGGCACCAGAGTGACCTCGAGTGATCTAAAGGGATAACACCAATTGGCAAGCTAAGCAATAGTGGAGAGACTACCTCGAATGCCCATTCCTGATAATGAACTTGATGTCTATAACCATCCGGGAGCCTTCATCCAGTGACTGATGGAAGCAGAGGCAAACACACACAATTAAGCACTGAACTGAACCCAAGGAACCCAGTGACAGAGAGAGAGGAGTGATGAGCAAATTGGCAAAGAATGGGCTGGCAAAACCAGCAGAGACAGCTGATCTGAACAGGGGAGTGTTCTAGGACCCCAGACCGACAGTGGGGAGGCCAGCATGGGACTGATCTGGACCCCCCCAAATGTGAGTGTCAGTGAGAAGGCCTGGGCAACCCATGGGGCCCTGAGCTGTGGATCAGTGTCTATCCCTGGTATACAAACTGTCTTCATGTGCCTATAGCACAAAGAGAGATGCTCTCTCAGCCTGGACTCTTAGGGGAGTGCCTTGACCCTACCAAGAGTAAAATGACAGACTCTAGATATCCCCTATGTGGAAGGATTTGGCAATAGGGTGGGAGGGAGGGGGGGAAGGGGAGTGTGGGAAGAGGGGAGGGAGAGGGAACTGGGATTGACATGTAAAACAAGCTATTTAAAATTAAAATAAAAATGATAAAAATATTCATTAGTTCACTATTCCTCCCTACAGGCAAATAGAGAAGGAGGAGAGCAACTGTGAGTCTGGGAGCTTCAGATCAAGGGTTCACATAAATGCTGCACTCTCATTTCCAGGTCTTTACCTGTGACCATGTATACTGCCTTTCCAGCTGCCTCCAGTTATGATTCCTGTGCCTTGTTATGGGTTTGTTTGTATGTAAAGGATAAATAATATTCTTAATGATGTCCTGTGTATTTGCCAAGTTTGCACCACAGAACTTATGACAGATTTTGTGCTTTATTTCAATTCTCTAGAATGCAAATTTCTTGGCCGTAGTATAATAACAAAAGACAACTTATCTAAATATAGGCAAATATTTCTTTATGTTTAAAAGAAGTTTTCCAAAGTTAACAAATCTAAACCAAATCCCCCAATCAAAGCCCTGAGAGATCAGCACAATTCAAGTGATATGGGTGTGGAGGCTCAGCCCACACGTGGATTAACTGTGCTATCACAGAATTGTCATCCCAAGAGTCATTTTTTAGAAGAGCAAATTTGGCTCTCAGCATTACTGGCCTTTCCTGGGCTCCTATTTGTCTTTCCTCATTTTATTTTTCTTCATCCCTTTTTTATAGGTGAGGCAACACACAGGTGCTTGCCAGATAATAAATCCTGAATGTTGAAATTCCAAACATTCAGAGTTATAAGAATCAAATTTTTCCTATGTAGAAATTATCCAGTCTGTGGTATTATCTCATAGTTGAATAAATGACAAAAGAAGTCATCTCTTTTATCTCTTCCTTGTTCCATTCTTGTATACTGCATGCAAACCACTGACATGCTAGTTTGTACCCCAAGGATGGTTATGCTTGATTCTCAACTATTTGCTACTTTGAATGAAATCCCAAACCCAATGGGGCTTTCAGAAAACCAAATCACAGTAAGTTGAATGCCATCTAGAAAACATTACACTAGATGAATAGAAACAAATAATCAATAGCTTTTCTCAAGATTATCTGTCTTTATGTGTGTGACTTAGCCAAACACTTTGTCATAAATTTGGCCATCTAACTCAATAAAAGAGCTCCACTTTGTTACCAGCTGTGATTACTCATATTGCTTATGTGATTACTGATATTGACTGTCAACTTTACAGTCTCTAGAATGGTCTAGGAAACATACATTTGGGCATGTCTGTGCTGGAGTTTTCAGATTGCATTGAGATGTGACGACCTACTTAACTGTGGACAGCAAATTCCAATGAGTTCTTTCCCAGGCTGAACTAAAGGAAAAATAAAATGGAGTTCTAGAACACATCTTTGTCTTCTCCCTCCCTGCATATGCAATGTGACCAGTAGTCTCCTCTTCCCTGCTGTAATTGACTATATCACCAGAATTTATAGTAAAATGATCACCTCCTTCATTAAGCTGATTTTGACTGGAATTTCATCACAGAAATAGAAAACATAACTATCAAAAAATTTTTATGTATTATACTAGAGGGGGAAAAGATTTGAATAAAATGGCTTGGTATAGATGAGTTTGTAAATGTAACAGTAAGTTGTGGTAGAATCTGAAATATCCCCTGAAGCCTCATATATTAAAGGACTAGTTTAAATGGCAGGCTTTAGGGAGTGGTTGGATCACAAGGGCTCTGGCATAATGGATATTACAGTTCCTTAGGATTTATAACATGATGACCTTCTAAATATGGAGTGTAATTGAAGGATGTGAGACAATGTGGACTTATCCTACAAGGTATAATCTGAACTTGGTTCTGCTTTGAGACTAAATCTTTCCTGGTTGCCATGAGACAAAGAACTTTCTAGTACAAAACACCTGTGCTATGTCTTTCTGCCTTGCCACCTAATAATAAAAGACATATGAATAATAGGCCAAAATCTTTGTAATTATGAGCTCAAATGAATGTTTTACTTCTTATTCTTTTAAACTAGTCATTTTGCTATACATTTAAAAATTAGCATAATAGTTTGTGAAGCAGACTTTTGGGAGTTTTATTCTATAAAAGGCACTTTCAAAAAGTAAGTCATAGCTTTAAAGAAACAGACGTTTTGTTCATCTTTTACCTAAAAATTATAATGATAAATATACAACCCTTCACATAAATCAGAGTATTACGTATCTCTAGTGTAACAGGCAGCAAACACTTAATCAAGAAAAAAAATAAGCTTTCCTGAGTGTTCTAATAGGCATTAAGGGGGAAAAAGGAAACAAACAAAAAACAGATCCAGTTGAGTGATTTCTTATTGAACCAGTTTGTTTTTGATGCCAAATTTACTTAGAAAATCACTTTCTTTCTAGGAAGTTAGTAAGCAGCTAGAGAATGCCACTTAATTATCCCATTAGTGCTTGTATTTAGTTTTCAAGTCAGCCAAAAGATGCAACAATGCTAGAGTTTATTTCCATGTAAAAACATTTCCTGTGCCCAATTACATGGTGAAAAGAAGGTAATGCCTAATTGTCTATTATTTACAATCTTTTCCGTTGCTACATTGCTGTTTAAAATTTGGGAGTTTGGCACATTGGGGTGACTAGACTCTTAGGTACTAAGATACAATAACCTCTCCAACATTATCTAATAAAATAAGTTGAAGAAATTCAAATGGATTTTATGTACCTAATTTAATGATTATTTAATTTAAATTTTGGTGTCACTACAATAGTTCTCATTCTTTTTCAATGAGCCATTGGTTGCCATTTCAGAACAGTAAGTTTTTTCCTAGTTTTAGATTCTTTTCACAGATATACCAGCAGGTTTAAATGTAAACAGCTGTTGAAGCTTTAGATTTCATAATTTCTGTAGGGCCTTGCATTATATAAATTTGATTTATTTTTTACAACATAAGTTATAGATATTGGAAATGTCTTGGAGACCATTAAAACACACTAGGTATCATCATGACTATTTCTGCTGTGAAATAGTTGCCACAGTATGGTCAATTATCAAACAGTTACAGAAAATAACTCAGTTTTTTACATAGAAAAAATATATTAATTTTATTTACTACACATTAATGATTTACACTACATATATTTTCAACTTGTCTCTAAATCTTATACATTGAAATTCTACTTCCTACAATGTAGTAAAAATGGCAATCCTGCCAAAAGCAATCTACAGATTCAATGCAATCACCATTAAAATACCAGCACAATTCTTCACAGACCTTGAAATAACAATAATCAATTTTGTATGGAAAAACAAAAGACCCAGGATAGCCAAAAACCTGTTCAACAAGGAAACGTCCGGAAGCATCACCATCCCTGACTTGAAGCTCTATTATAGAGCTATATTCCTGAAAACAGCTTGGTATTGGCACAAAAATAGACAGGTAGACCAATGGAATCGAATTGAAGAACCCTAATATTAATCCACACATGTATGAACATCTGATCTTTGACAAAGAAGCTAAAAACATATAATGGAAAAAAGAAAGCATCTTCAACAAGTGGTGCTGGCATAACTGGATGCTGGCATGTAGAAGAATGCGGATCTTTCCATGTCTATCGCCATGCACAAAACTTAAGTCAAAATGGATCAAAGACCTCAACATAAATCCAGCCACACTGAACCTCTTAGAAGACAAAGAGGGTGGTACCCTTGAATGAATTGGTACAGAAGAAAGCTTCCTGAACATAATACACAGGGATGATCTCCAAAATATATAAAGAACTCAAGAAGCCAGTCTCCAAAACACCAAAGGGCTGATCTCCAATTAAAAAGTGGGCTACAGAACCAAATAGAGAATTCTCAATAGAGGAGTCTAAAATGGGTGAGAGGCTCTTGAGAAAGTGCTCAACATCCTTAGACATCCGGGAAATGCAAATCAAAATAACTCTGAAATACCATCTCACTCCTGTCAGAATGGCTAAAATCAAAAACACCAATGACAATTTATGCTGGAGAGGATGTGGTGAAAAGGGAACACTCCTCCACTGCTGGTGGAAGTGCCAACTTGTTCAGCCACTTTGGAAATCAGTATGGAGATTCCTCAGAAAAATGGGAATAAACCTACCACCAGACCCAGCAACTCCACTCTTAGCCATATATCCAAAGATGCCCATTCATACAACAAGGATGTCTGTACCACTATATTCAAAGCAGCATTATTTGTAATACCCAGAACTTGGAAGCAACCTAGATGCCCCTCAACTGAAGAGTGGATAGAGAAAATGTGGTACATTTGCACAATAGAGTACTATTCAGCAGAAAAAACAATGGAATCCTGAAATTTGCAGGCAAATGGATGGCACTTGAAGAAACCATTCTGAGCAAAGTAACCCAGTCACAAAAAGAGAAACATGGCATGCATTCTCTCATATATGGATTTTAGACATAGATCTGGGGAGTGCCAGCCTACAATCTCATGGCCAGAGAGTCTGAGAAAGAGAACCTTCATTCAGTGGCTGATGGAAGCAGAGGCAGACTCCCATGGCTAAGCACTGAGCCAAACTCAAGAAATCCAGTGACAGAGAGGGAGGACTGATGACCAAAGGGATTAAAACTGGGCTGGTTTAACCCCCAGAAACAGCTGACCTGACAAGGGTTAGCTCTTATATCCCAGACTGATGGCTGGGAATCCATCATGGGACTGATCATGACACCCTGAATGTGGGTGTCAGTGAGGAGGCCTAGGTAATCTATTGAGCCTTGGGTAGTAGACCAGTATTTATCCGGGGACTACAAATGGACTTCAGGCTCCCATCCAACAATGAGATTTGCACTCTCACACTGAACTCTTAGGGCAGGGTCTAGGCACTGTCACGGATGAAATGATAGACTATGGATACCCCCATGGAGGGCATCCCCCTCCCTGGGGAAATCAGAGGATATTAGGGAGGTTGGTGGGAGGGCACGGGAGGAGGGGAGGGAAACAGAGAGGGACCTGGAATTGACATGTGAAGGAATCTTGTTTCTAATTTAAATTTAAATTTAAAAATAAAAAAGTATATATATATATATATATATATATATATATATATAAAGAATTCCCAATTCCTAATGTAAAAGAATTAAGAAGAGCAGCCAATGGTTTGCAATGTGTGCATTCTGTTTGTGGATCTCTCACAAAAAGGTCACCACATTATTTTCTACATCTTCCTACCATGTGCTAGTAATAAAGGGCAATAGTGTTAAGGAAATATAATAAAGTTTTAATTAACTTGCATAATTTTGTGCCATTTCCTTTTTCAATATGGTTATTTTTTATCATCTAATTAGAAAAGATATTTTTCAAAGATGCGTTGCACTTAAATGTAGCAGTAGGGACACAAGAATTGACCAGCAGAGTGAAGCCTTGGTGGTGTTCTGTTCCTCGGTCACCAACATGCAGAAGTATAAGAAGCAGATTCTATACTTTAGAAGCTTCCCAGTTGATAATACTTTTTCAGAGGAGTGAAATTCTACTATGACTGAAACCCATTCTAAGCATTTGAGTTCTAAGCACCCAGTCAAATGTCAGCAATGTAGAGGTGGGAGAGTTGCAGTCTTACCTAGACAGGTAGTTGCCTTTTTTTCTGACTTCTCAGTAACAGTAAATGCATTTAAAAATTTGCATTCCTTGGGTAGGATTATTCTGCCTTATTTTCTTAATGCTACACTGTGGGCTTGTTAGTATCTCTTTTATCTCATCCTTCAGCCAAAATTAAACTCAAGCAAAAAATATGATAGTCAAGGAATATTATAAAGCCGCAAAGCAAACTTCCATGAACAGAAAAAGATACTTCTATAGGTAATATTAAACTGCACTTGTGAATGAAACTTGGCATTGTGTAATGGAACTAGATAATTAAACAAAACAAAACAAAAAACCTCCTAGGTAGGTGGAATGGTAGGCAATCAAACTAAGATGTCTCTCTCATCTATCTATGTGAAGTACCCACTTACAATTGCTCTCTTGAGGTCTCTTTCTGATTTATGAATGCTATCTTTCTCTAGCATCTCTTTTTCCCATGAGTTCACTCAAGAAGCAGGATCTTCTGCTATGGAATCAGAGAAAACTGTAAACTAAATAGGAAACCATGTTTCTTTTTTAAAATTAATTTTATTTAAATTAAAAACAACCTTATTTTATATATC